TTGAGGGCCGACTTGAAGATGGCGGTTTGGTTCTCTCTCACTGTAGAGTTTTGTGGGGATTTTGTTGTCGGTGCCTGTGTGTATGTCTTGAAAGTTCACAGGTCCCCTCCCAGCCCAAACAAGGATTATTGCATGCCTGCCAAAAACATCAGCCCCCAAGTCCCCATAACTTGGGGGAATGAAAGCCTGGGAGACATTGCCGTGGCTACCCAAGCTTTAGGCGGGAAGCCCCGTGCAAGTCCACCCTGGCTAAAAGCCCTTTAAACACACTGCTATCACTGAATTGCTGAACCTAGGGAGCAGGTCGCCCATAAGTCAGGATGCTGTGGTTTGGTTTTCAAGGGAGCCCTTTAGAAGAATTTGTTTCCTGGTATGAGCTACTAAGTCTGAAAGTGAAAGAGATGGGCTGAATTTATGTCCATGCTTTGTATGGCTCATGGCAGCTGGCTTAAAAAATTAATCTGAGCGCTTTCTTAAGACTTACATCTTCAAAAAGCCAAGAGCCGGGAATGGGATGGGTGGGGAAGCTCCGTATTATTAAGGATCCTTGTTAGATAGTCCTGATGATTGAGCTTGATTGGGTAGTTCATGTCCCCTCTTTTCACTTAGCAGATTCTGGTTTGAGGATTCACTGAGAGCCCTATCACTTGGGTCTTGTGTAACCAATGTTCCAAGTGTGCCCTTTTCTCCCTCTTCAGCCCTGCCCAGCAGCCACCTGTCAGCCTTCCGCCACGTGCCAACTTCCCCAAGAGGCCCTGCCATGTGAGAATGAGCCAGACACTGTGGTTGCCCACATCTGGTTGTGGGAGCCAGGAGGTTGTCCAAATTCTCTGCAAGCTCTACATGTGTAGCTGAGGGTTGGATCAGAAAAGTAAGAGTGACTTCATGGAGGGACAGGCACTGGAGTTGAGCCAGGGAGGCCCCAAGCAGAGTGAATGGCGGTAGTGTGGGCACAGGAGAGTTGAGGAGGCTTCCTGAGGGTGAGCGTGATGGTTGCTGCTGAGCCAGGCATCTTATTTCGCTTACTCTTTAGAGCACAGGCTGGCACACTTTTTTAGGAAGAGTCAGATTGCAAATATTTGAGGTTTTATGGGCCAAAGATCTCTGTCACAACTGTTCAACGTTGCTCTAGTGGTATAAGGCAGCCAGAGGCTACAAATGAAGGTGGCTGTGTGTCATGAGTGTTGCTTAAAGAAACAGGTATCCAGTTGGCATCAGCCCAGGCCACAGTTTGCCAGTGTTACCGTATAATACATTTGATATAATCTCTATTTTATGGAGGATGCAGCTGAGCAACTGAGAGTAAGAAATTAATTTGTCCTGGATCAAGAGCCAATTTAACTTGATCCAGTCCTAAAGGACTGTGTTCATCCTCTCTACGCGCGTGCCCTATCTCTCCTCCCTTGCAAGGGTGGAGTGCATTCTGGGAAGAGTGAGCAGAGGGAATGCCTTGAGTCACAATGTGAAAAGTTGCCTTTACCTCACTGGGAAGAAGAGAGCTGGTGATGACTCTGATCGGGCAGCACCATTAGAGCTGAGCCCTAGGAAGATTAACTCAGCACTTGCTGTTCAGGGAGGATAAAGTTTACAGATGAAAAGCTTTTGTTTGTTTTTGCTGTGCTAGGGATCAAACACAGGCTTCAGACACACCAGGCAACCACTCTACCACTAAGCCGTATTCCCCAGTCCTTGATATTTCTGAAACGGGATCACTCTGTAGCTTAGCTAGCCTTGAATTTGCTATGTGGCCCAGGCTGGCCTCAAACCCATAATCCTCCTTCAAGTGATGGTTACAGGCATGTGCTACCACCCATCTGCAGCAAGAATTCTCATTTTGGAGTAGAGAGGGTCACTTTGCCCAAGTCATCTCTGGCCACTATAGCCTTTTAAAAGTTCTGTATCCCTCCTACCACACAGCCTCTCTATGGCTCCATTCTGCATATGTATGGACATGTGCATGTATGTTTACACACTTCTTGAAAGAAAGTGGTTTTACCTTGGCTTCCAGCTGGAATGTGTGGAGTCATATCAAGGGTTAGTGTTCTTAACAGCAATCCTGTTTGGAAGAACTGTAACCACCTTGGAAGGGCCAGAGGTGAGCTCTTTGCCAGTGTCCAGAAGGAGTTCCTTGTCTCACTCAGCTGTGTTCTTGGGGCACATGGCTTTAAACTTCTGGATACTATGGTGGTTCCTCCCACATGGCTGGCGAGATGCCTCATGGGCTTTGAGAGAGCATTGTGGGCACTGCCTTTCCTGGCTAGTAAAGTGTACCGATCAGCTGTCAATCACTGTGACACATTAACAGACTAGTTTATCTTGGCTCAGCTTCAAGATTTCAGTTCCGGTGAATAAACTGAAGCCTAGAAAGGCTGGGCAACAAGATGACATTCAGATAGTAAGGCTTTGGGTCTTGGTGGTTTTAAGTTTTCATTCTCTCAGCATAACTAAATAGAGGAAGGAGTTACAGGGTGTCATGAGGGAGGAATGACCTACCATAATAGATTTTATTCAGAAAAGCACTGTTGGAGATTGTATAGGGGATTCTAGAATAACTAAGCCTGACCTATCTCCTGGCTCTGCCACTTATTATGACCTTGAACAAGGTATTTTGCCTTTTATCCCTTCAGTTTTTCCCTCTGAAAAATGGCCACCATGATTGGACCTACTCCACAGAATGAGGATTGAAGGAGTTCGTGTGTGTAGTGTGCTTAGACAAGGCTTGGGGACAGCAGCACTGCCTGCTTTGGCAGGTGTCTGCCAGGCTCCTGTTCTGTGTCAAGTACTTTTCTTCAAATCTGTTGATTCACTGTTCTGACCTCATCATAACTGAGAAGTATCCAGTATTGGTCTAATCTTACAGAAAAGAAAACCTTACCTCAGAGAGGGTTGGTGGCTCATCTGAGGCATTCTTCCGTCTGTCTGTCCATTTATGTTTGGGGTGCATACTGAGAAGTTCTGCATGCTGAGTTGTAGGATCCTGTGGAACATCACTGACTGAACAGATGCACTCTGTGCTGCCTTCAGAACTGGGGCTGGGACTCAGATTGGCCTCTGCTCCTTCTAGTGGTTTTCTTCCTGCTCTTCTTAATTTAATGACTGCTTAAATTTCAGTTTGGCCATTTTAACGACCACTGTGGTGTTTTTCTCCCTTAACTGTCTCTGCGTTTATAAACTTGAAGATGAGGTTGCTGTTGTAGCTCAGTTGGTCGAGTGCCTGCCTAGCATGTGTGAAGTCCTGGGTTTGACTCCAAGAATCAGATAAAACCAGGCATGGCAGTTCACACACATAATCTCACCACTCAGGTAGTAGAGGCAGGGAGATCAGGAGTTCAGGGTCATCTTTGGCTGTACAGAGGATTCAACTGCAGTCTTAGCTGCATAAGACACCAGCTCGAAAACAAATAAGATAGGGTAAAATTGGAGATTATCTTGCTTTACTAGACTTCTGGTCTTTGACAATTTGGGAGTCGGGGGAAGAGTGGAACATTGATTCGAGAACTGGGATACTGTGTTAAATAAAAGAATCTGTGAGTCTGGTGCACACATGGGTCTCCACAATGAAGTTGGAGCTTCTGGATGAGGGACGGACAGACAGAAGCAGCTGCTCTCACCTCTAACTAGAACTTGCAAGCCACATGTATGCTTGGGCAGAATCTGTGGGTGGAGGGAGAACAGACCCCTCAGCTTCTAGAGACAACAAGGATTTGGATATGAACCTGTTGCTGGGCCCAGTTGAGGGGGGACCATCCTTTCTTTTGAGCAGTCATTCATGTCACTGAGAAAGGTGGGGTTGTGCAAGAACTTATGTGTCTGCCCCCAACTCATGTTCCCCTACAAGCTCAGAAATCACACATAAACTTAGTACTCTCAGTCAACAGGGAAATACTTTGCTTGGGCTGTTTCTGGCTTTGACAGCTGGGGAGACAGTTTTCAGGTTAGAGTTTTCTTGTACTCCCTGCTTCGAAAAAAATATTCGTTCGCTCTGATAATTCCCCCAGGGTCAGGTGTATCGCACGTTCACCTCATAGAAGAATAGGGCGGGACGGTCTTTGGACCCCTCCCCTGAGCTTCTAGCCAATTGTACGTAATTCTGCTATAATTGCACGCGGCCTCCTGGCCTTAGGGAGGTGCTAGAGTATACAGACTGGGAAAGGCTAGCTGAAGGGGAGCTGCCATCTATACAGCTGTGGGGAAGTCGTCATGCTGGGGTGCAAGTTTTCAGTGGTGAGGCTGCTTTTGGGTCCTCCGAGCTCTGTAAGTAAGCCCAATAAATTCATTGGTTCCTCAAGTTAGACTTTGATGGAATCTACTTTGGTTTGTTGCTGGTGTCCTATAAGGAGAGGGTAGACATTTGTCTCCCCAGGGAAAGAGTTCCTGCTACAGGTGTTGGAATCGGCTGGGTTTTGTCCTAGACTCCTGATGGTGAAATGGTGGCTGGCTTTTAAATTAACCTGAATAAATCTGTGATGCTGGTGAGTCCACGTGTGATGGAAGGGGCTCTGTGTTCCCCCTGGCTTCTTTACAAGAAAAGCAGGCTCCTGAGAACTCTGCTCATTCAATAGCCCTCCTCGCCCTGAAATGGCCTGTTCAAAGATGCCCATTGGGTGGTAACTTCCCCATACGGTTTCTCCATAAAGAGAAAAAGATGAGGAGGGGTGGGGAGGCCCCGCTTGTGTTCAGAGCTGCAGCATCTCAAAGCGGTCTGGAACTGTTTAGTTCCTTGTCCCTGGCCTATTCAGGCCTCTGCCTGTTTTGACGCTTGCTTTAGCTTTTCCCTGGGTCTTACACAGCTTTCTCAATAGGCGGGGCCCACTGTGGCGCGCTGAATGCCATCCCAGCACAATGCACTGAATTTTAATGGCTCTGGCAGCTCGGGAGCTCTCCACTAGCCCGTGCTGTCAGCACAGCGACTGCCGCACCCGAGCATGGGCCAGCGGTTGCTGTAACCATGCAGTAGGTTCTGCCCAGGTTCCTGAAGTTGCCTGTGTGCTTCCTTACAGATCTACACGGATTGGGCCAATCATTACCTTGCCAAATCCGGCCACAAGCGGCTCATCAAGGACCTCCAGCAAGATGTGACTGACGGCGTGCTCCTGGCCCAGATCATCCAGGTCGTAGGTAAGCTCACGTTTCTCCTTGAGGACTGTGGGTCACAGCAGAGCCAGCCCAGAAGGGTTTAGTGGGCTGAGGGAAAAGACCCTGGACATCTCTGAGGTGGTGTTCTGACCACGTGTTGGCCTTTCACTTGATTCTGTGTTTGGACTCTGTGGGGCCCACTTGCCTCCTAGAATACACTCAGCAGGACTGGGGATGTAGCTCAGCAGGAAGCGTGCTTGCCTAGCACGGAAGCCCCATTCCATCCCTAGCACTTTACAAAGTGGTGTGGCGATGCAGGCCAGTGGGTAAAGGCAGAAGTTGAAATCCATCTTGACAACATAGTAAGTTTGAAGCCAGCCGTGGCTCTGGGGAAAAAAAAAACAAAAAACTCCCGACAATCTCACTTTGGCCCCTTTAGGGGAGAGACTGGCTCGGGCCAGAAGGCCAAGTGCTGCGGTTTGCCAGGCCTGCCCTGCTAGCTTCGCCGTCTAGCTTTCTGGCTTTCTTTTCCCCCAACCCCCATATTCTTTTGGTTGAGGGAAGACTTTGGAAATACTTCAAGAAAGAAAAGAACACAGGACTGGTTTAATCCTGCCAACTTTGAGGGTGAGATATCAAAGGCTAAAACTCCACAGATAGTTGGTAGTTTTTAATACTAGGGGAAGGGAGCTCTAGCAATGAGATTCCGGGTGGGTGGGTGTGTGTGTGTGTGTGTGTGTGTGTGTGTGTGTGTGTGTGTACGCGCACGCGCCTTTGCCCTGACCTAAGAGGGCAGGTATGTGGATGCGTGGCTGCTGGCCAACGTTCTGTGGCCCTGCCTGAGGGGGGAGCTGAGGAGACGGGGGAGATACATTAGCCACCGTTATGCTGATGTTTGTCTTCAGCAGCGGTATAGTCTGCATGTGCCAGGGGAGAAAGGACAGAGCCCCAGTGCCTCTGGAGGCTTCTGTGGAAAAGCTGTGTTCCCTTCAAGTGTGAGAAGTGAGTGGCTTTCACAGAGCAGCTGTGCTAAAGTCTTTGGGGGGTACCTGGTGACACAGGCTGGAAGTCAGGATTGCCAGTGCTGCTCAGAGCACAGGTTCCCTGCTGCCCTGGGGGTGATTTCCTCAGATACAGCTGTTGGTCCTCCTCTAGTTCCCATTTTCCCACCCCACCCTGTTAGACTTTTCTCTTCCTATATAGCCAGCTGTCACAAAGACATCCATTTAAAAACAAAATGTCTTTACTATCTCACAGTTTCCTTACATTGAGTGCAGGCTGGGCCATGGGTCCAGTGTGTCCTGGGCCCCACCCTCATGTGGAGGCCCTCTAGGGGGAGGGTTTGCTTTCACAGTCGCTCAGTCTCTGAGACTCGTTTCCATGGGACTGCAGGACTCTGGGTCCTGGCTTGTTGCTGGCTGCCAGCTGGGAATCACCCTCACCTCACCGAAGCTGCTCTTTACTTCTTCAGTGCCAGCAAGGGACAAGTCTCTGGAGGATGGACTGACTCTTACATCATGTAACATCGCCGTTACAGTTATAGGTCCTGCCTGTGCTCAGAGAGGATTGTCCCAGGGCACAGATGTGAATGCATCCTGGAAGGTCACCTAGTCTCTGTGGGTCTCTTCCATTCCTCCTCTTCCTCCCCCTCTTCATTGTTATGTGTATCAAGGTCTTAAGATGTTTCTCCCATTTTCCTGTACTCCTAGGAAGTAGGTAATAGTCTTCCTATTTCACAGATGGAGAAATGGAGGCCCAGTGAGGCCGAGGGGCCTAATATCAATCACATGACAAGCCTGTGTGGAGCCTCTAGTCCAGTCAGTCTGCTCCCTAAGGCTTCTTTCAGTGACCATTTACGGAGCCCCTCAGTGCCATCCTGTGCATTTGCTAGGGATGAGAGATGGATGTGCAGGGCTCGCAGGGTTGAGGGCTATGGTGCCATCTTGTTCACATCTGAGCAGGTGTTGAGGTTCTCTTAGTGGACTCGTGGCTGGGATATAGCCTCCTTTAAGAAAGTCTCAGGGTTGTGCTGAGTGGTCGTACTGAGTGCTTTACTGAGAGCTTACCCTGGTTTCATCACAATCAGCCAGAGAAAAAGGGAGGACTGACCACACCAGAGGTCTTTGCATGCCCTTGCTTCATCCCTCACAGCTGCGGCCCCTCAAGAGGCCGCCTGCTTCTGTTGCCCTTACTCTTTCTTTGTGTGTGTGTGTCTATGAGTGGGGGAAGGGGGATATGGCTGTGGTGGACTTGTTAGTGTGTGCATATATATGTGTGCATGTGTGTGGTGTGTCTCTGTGTGCATTTGTGTGGTGTGTGTGTGTGTAGGCCAGAGGGGTTGATGGCAGGTATCTTCCTTGATTACCCTCCATGTTTATTTTTTCTTTTTCTTTTGGTCTTTTTGAGACAGGGTCTCCCCGTAGCCCCAGCTGGTCTGGAACTCACCATGTAGATCAGGTTGGCCTTGAACTCATAGAGATCCAACTGCCTCTGCCTCCCAAGTGCTTGGTGCACCACCACACCCAGCTTTATTTTTATTTTTTCAGATTTATTTCTATTTATATGTATTGGTGTCTGCATGTATGTTTGTGTACATGCATAGGAATTCCTGCAGAAGCCAGAAGAGGGCATTGGATCCTTTCCACCTGGAGCCACAGGCAGTTGTGAGCTGTCCAGAATGGGTGCTGGGAACTGTGCTCTGATCCTTGGCAAAAGCAGCAAGCACTCTAACTGCGGATCTCCCTAGCTGCTTCTTTGTTTTTAAACTGGCAGTCATGCTTGCTTTCACTTGTTATGCAGTCTCATGATGCAAGTTAGCTATCAAATAGGAAAATACGTTTGGAAATTGATGTGCTACTAGATAGTACTCAATAGCAGCTGTCTAGGACAGTAGGCAGAGCAGGATGATGAGGGCTCAGCATCCGTGGCAAGTGTCATGGTAGATTAGCCATGCCTGCCGCAGGCTTAGAAGTGGCACATGTAGGGTGCGTACCGTTGATTTTTCTGAGTGTTGTTCTGAGGATGTGAGGCATCCATTTTTATCATTGCTGAGAGGAGAATGCTTGTCAGAATCTATTCAGAGGAGCAGCTCATTAGAGTCAAAGCTGCTGAGCTGTCATTTAGAGGCTCAGGTTAGCACCTCCATTTTTCTTTACCAAAATGCTTGGACTTAGATAAGTTTGGGATTTGGGACTTTTTTTATGTGTGTGAGTGTTTTGACTGTGTGTATGTTAAGTGCACTTCTGTGTGCAGTGCCCACAGAGACCAGAAGGAGGCGTTAGATACCCTGGAACTGGAGTTACAGATGGTTGTTAACTGCCATGTACATGCTGGGACCCAAATCCAGGTCCTCTGCCAGAGCAGCCAGGGCTCTTAACTACCGAGCCATCTCTCCAGCCCTCAGAATATTTTTTAACTTTGGAATATTTCCAAATAGAAGAGATATGTTGGGGATGTTTAAGAGTAAGCCAGAAATTTTGTTTCATGGGCATCTTACACACATAGCCCGAAGATAGCTTTATTCAGTGTTTTCAATAATTTTGTACATGAAGCAAAAGGCTTATGGCGTGGAAATTTCTACCTGTGGCATCAAGTTTACACTCAAAAGTTCTAGATTTTGGAGCAGTTAGAATTTGAGATTCTCAGATGAGGGATTTAATCATGTGCCAGCTGCTTTGGTGACACTTCAGGCTCCAGAAGAGGACTGCTCAAGTTATGGCTTCCCAGGATGACAGGTACCGGCTGCTGATCTCCCTGGTGGTGCTGTGCCAGGGCTCACGTCTCTGGGTGTGCGCAGAGGTCCAGAAGATGGAGAACAGGAAGGCAGCACGTCTGACCTAATCTGTGAGTGAGGTCAGTGAAGCCTCTCTTAGAACATCTCCTGGTCTTTCTTTCTTGTCGCTGTGATGAAGCACTGACAGAAGCAACTTACAGGAGAGAGGATTTGCTCTGGCTCACAGCTGCAGCGGAATGGAGTGCATTGTGGTAGGGAGGACGTGGTGCAGGAACAGGAAACTGCTGACCACACTGCATCCACACTCAGGAAGCAGAGGAAGAACGGGAAGTGGCCCTGGACTACTAATGTTCAAGACCCTGTCCTGCCCCCAGTGTTCCACTTCCTTCCGCAAGGCTCCACCTCCTGAAGGTTTTACCAACTTCCCAAACAAAGCCACTAGTTGAGGACCAAGTATTCAAGCATATGAGATTATGTAAAGTAAATACTGCTCCGTGTGGTGCTCCTGTGGGAGGGGCAGCACTGTGGCCTGGGTGTCGTTATTCACTCCTGCTCCTCAACGCTGTAGTCAGTATCTCCCCCATTTATATGTTATTAAAATCTATGTCTATCTCTATCTGAAATGTATTTGTGTGTGGAGCTGTCTTTAGTCCATACCCATTGCATACACATATCTACGTAGCAGTTTTCCAGATGTAGAGTCCCACTGGCCCCACCTGTGCCATTCAAGGCTGCCTTTGGTCTTTGGCGGGGTGTTCCTGTGTGTGCCCAGAAGCCCAGAAGCCCAGCTCTCACGGATCCGTCTCCTGGTTGCCCGGCCAAAGCTAGAAGAACAACCATCATTTCACCTTCTGTGGTTTGTCCTCTTGAGGTTCGGTCTGAGGTTCTCTCTGGGAAGCCAGCATTTAGCCTGGGACTGGCATGTGATGAAGTTCAGGGAAGCTTGAGAGGATCAGCGGTCAAGAATTTTACTCCTTTAAGCCTGGCTTGGATAGTCCCAACAGGTGGCATGGATGTTTCCCCTTCTCTGTGGTTACGATTACTTTCAACATTCCTAAACTCTGTATCACGCCCTCCTGTTTGCCAGGCTGAGACTGCAGCTCCCAGCTACCAGGTTTGGAAGGAACGTGTGAGAGCCACGGTGTGATACGTTGATCTATGGAAAGCACTCAATGACTTCTTAGTCCTTCCCTGGTGGGCGGCTCACCACCCCTTTAGGAACGCAGGCAGTTGGAGTCCTTTAAAAGCTCGTCACTCAATTTGTTCACCTTGCTGTATCGAAACACCTTGGACTGAGGGCCTCATCAAC